GTAGTTTTAAAAAAACTATTAAAGTCTTTACTCTAAAATTAAATTTTTTTAAATTTCTTTACAGAGAGTTCTCCTAATTTAAATTTGATAGTGATTTTTTAGACAATTTTTTGTCGTATAAGAATGGTCATGAATTAAATATGAATTTTATAAATAAATATTTATACAAAAAATTATGGTCCAAAAGTGGGTAACTATTAAATTTGGATAATCTTCAACCATGAAAGACATTCTTGTTTTTGTTAGATACAAAACAAACAAATAATGCTATAAAAAACAAATCAACGCTATATAATATCACAACAAAGAGTTATAATATCACAACACAGAGTTATAATATCACAACACAGTTTTATAATATCACAACACAGAGTTATAAAATGATGTGGCACCAGCTTTTAATTGTATTTAGTCGTGAAAAGTATATTTTATATTAAACCCATAAAAATTTGGTAATCTTGTGTTCTTTGGAGGGTTTTTTGACAATTGTTGACACGGGGGAGGGGGGAGGTCAATTAAAGTTGACGTCAACAATTTTTTTTTTTTTTTTTGATTTAATAACGAAAAATTAAGTTTGTAGCGTAGTTTCTTTATATAGGAAGAGGAGGGGGGGGGGGATTCAAAATTTGACATAATATTATATTACTTTAAGAGTTTTGTGCAAAGATAAAGTTCAGCAGTTTGTCAAAAGGATGTTTTAGTAAATTGCAAGAAAAACATTCTGTTCAAGTTTCAGCATTTAAACCTCTGTTGAGGTTTTTACATGCACGCAAATAATCACTCTGGGTTTCAAAAGACTGGTTTGTTTTCGCTCAGCAAGATGGAAATCGAGTGACAATAAAAATAAAGCAAATCAGGCTAGGAAACAACGTAATCTTGACGTAAATTTGACCTTAATGATGAGCAGCAGATAAATCTTTTAACAAAACCATCTCCAACAACAACAACAGTGGCAAACTAAGTCAAGTATAAAAGTGTCCTAATGTTTTTAGAAAAGTTTAAGCAAGTCAAAAAAGTGAATGATATCAAACTGAAAATTCCAAATGCAAGGTTTGGCTTTGTCATACATCTATTCCCAAAAAATGTATAAAAACACTGAGTTTTATTGCATTAAAAAGTGCCGCGCAAGTGACAACTCAACTCAACCTCCAAAACCTCTTACAGATTTAACATCATCACATAAATAAAATTATTTTTTTATTTTTTTTTTAAATTGTATTATTGGTTGATTTTTAATTAACATAAATGGTTGTATTTTTTAAATTAAGTATTTTTTTGATAACCCATTTCTTTGCACATTTCATTCCTCCCAAATAGGAGTGTATATTGAAATATGCAGCCGTAGAATAGAATGAAAAAGGAGGAGTCGAAGTGCAGTGGTTAGTACGCTAGCCTCATAAATAGAGATGTTCAACGCCACCTCTGGGTAAGTTTTATAGCATCGACAAGGAAAGAAGCGTTCTTTCAAATGCTTTTCTGTGAGAAGATTGAAATATTTAATGGGCACCTAAATAAAAGAAAAAAATTAAAAAATATTTTTTTTTTTAAATAAATGAAGTTTCTTAAAAACTTTTTCGAAAATATATTTAATTTTTATATTTAAATACAATTCAAAAGTCTTTACAACTTAAAAAAAAAAAATTGAAATCTTTTTACCGTGATAAATAAAAAATTACTTGACCCGTTTTAACTCTACTGATTGGAAAAAAAAAAGCAATTTTATACTTACTTGGCAAATTGTGTGAGAAATTATGGTAAACTAAAAATAAATCAGGCGCACTTATTTTGGTAACTTTAAGTTAATCAGACAGGGAATTTTCTCAGATTAACTTAAAGTTACCAAAATAATGACGAGATTTAAAAGAGGGGGGAAAAAATGGTGTAAACAACTATTGCCCGACATCTGTTTTTTCTATAAAACTAAACACGTTCAAGCAAAAAAAGAATTGTTGCATGGTTTAAAATCCCACACCATTCTCTTGCGTTATAACCTTACAATTTAATCAGTTTACAATCATTTTAGTAAAAAATAAGCTACAGAAACGAAATCTATGGTAAGTTTCCTTTTCTGAAAAAGCTATGAATAAAATATATGTTCTGCAAGACAAACAATTAGATTGCTTAAAGAGAAAGCACTAATTTTGTAAGTGTGAACTACAAACAATCTTTTAAAATATGTTTAAAGTAAAGAAATAAAAGTCATTTAAAAAAAAAAATTGAGATTTTGTTCATTAATCTGTTGATTACAGAATACAAAAAGTTTATTGCAAAATTTTAACATAGAGTTATAATAATTTGCGTTTATTTTAAAAAAGTACTTTGTAATATCCATAACAACCCCATAGCACTCGTCATATAAGCAAAAATATTTCTAATATTTAACTGCAAATTTCTATATATTGTAAATGCTAAAAAAACATTTTAAGTATTAAAGTCTATCTTGCTTATTATTTGGTCATAACTTGAATGATCATTTGTATTCTTAATATATAATTAAGTATTATCACATTTTGGAATAATGAAAGTCATAATATTTACTGTTTGTACTATTTTAAAAGTATAATGTTTAAAGGTAAAGAACAAAATTTTGTTTTTAAAAACACTAAACTAGTATTCACCCTCATAATTGTTGTAAAAATGATTATCAAACAATCTTTCACTCATTACATCATCAACAACCACAAAAACAGACTACCCTCCAAAAACATCTTTTTTCAAAAAAATTTTTTGACAAAAAAAAGTTTAAAGACTTTGAAAACCATCCACCAGAGTTGCTTCTTTTTAATTGATATGAATATTTTAAAGAAAATGTTATATGAAGTGAATGTACGTTCAGTTGTTGCGTTTTGTGAAATTTGATTAGGCTTTTAGGCTATCAAAATATTTGCAAAAAGTATAATATTTCTGAAAATGCTATACATAGTTTAGGCAAAAAAACGGTCTAGTATATGCTGTTTATATAAATGCTACAACTAAAATTATAAATAGGGTATCCCTTGAACGTATAAAAAATGATATAAATGTTTCTATTACCATTGCATCACAATTAATGGCACGTGGCAAAAGAGCGGGACTCGCCTCTTAATAGAGTCACGACATTATTGATTGGTAAAAAGTGCATGGACCATGAAGTTCTTTTAAAACATTTGAATGCTTGTTAATATTGTGAAAATAAAAATAATTGCCCTCAGTATGATAAGCGGCGTGTTAACATTTTTATTTAACTTTAAAAAAAACTTTTAAAGTTTAAAATAATCTGTACTCAGTTAAAGAAGTAATAAAGGGATAAGGGACATGTATAAGGGGAGATCTTATCTTACACTTTTAAGTTTAAAAAAAAAAGTAGGAAAAATTATACTAATTTGCAGATTCTCTGCGAAGCAAAAAGCTGATGATCTAAACAAACTATGAAGAGACCAAATTATAAATGATGAACCGATGATACATTTGATTTGAAGGTTTCCATAGTGACCAATTAACTATAAGATAATTGGTCACTATGGAAAACTTCAAGTCAAATGCATCATCGGCTCAATCAATTTAATATAAAAATAAAATTCCAAATATTTTTTTTTTTAAATTTGTCAGGATCTACCAGGATCACCTATTTTACAGACTGAGAGTTTTTACTAATTTCTATATTTTTGGGGTCATACTAACTTTTGAAAAACTTTTGAATGGTTATTACTTTTGACTTAATTTTTCATAGTGATCAAAAAACTATAAGAAAATAAAAAACCAAAATTTTATTTTAAAAAATTTGTCGCGATTGTCCAGAATCATCTATTTTACAGCTGAAGGGTTTTATATTATTTTTTTAGTTTTTGAAAACAATATTTGGGGTGATATTATAATAATACCATGTGAATATGCATAAAAGAATCATGGAATCCAAAAAATTAAACAATTGAAAACTATTGCGTAATTTACAGACTGGTTAGTGAAATAAAATAAAACCAATTGGGCAATATGACTTTTAATATATTTGATAATTTCCAAATGTTATTACATTTGACTTGAAATTTTTGATAGAGGTACATAAATATAAGAAAATTAAATGCCATCATTTTTTTGCATCTGTCAAAATTATCCAGAATTGTTAATTTTACAGACTGAAGTTTTTTTATTTATTTACCATGTCTTTTAAAAATAAATTTAGATTTAAATCTTTTAGAAAAAAAAAGAAAAAAATTCAGGATATATTATAAAAACTCCATGCTATATTTATTTATTTATTCTTTTTAACACTAAAATTATAGATAAAAAAACAAATTGTATTAAACTAATAGTTTATACTTTCAATCTTCAAATTCAAAAATTTAAATTTTTCTTGAGATGTTTTCCTCCATCAACTTAGTAAATACCAGTCTTTGTTCTCTGATATTCCAGAATTCAAAAGAATGGTTCAAAATTGCCGCTATATTTTCTCCTACGTCATCGTAGCAACGTTTTACCGTTATTTTTTTCCCCTCTATCAAACACTGCACAAAGTTTAGCTCAAGTTGATTGAAAATTTTTATTACTTCGTTGATAAATAGGTTATTTTTAGTAACATCAGATATCTGAGCCAGAATCAGGGAAAAACAAGTTGGATTGTTCAGTAGTCTGATAAACAGATTTAATTCGTTTCGAATGAGGATGGTAGATTATAATATTATTATAATAACAAATTTCTAACCCGTATGATAAATTCTGTATAGCCAGTGATTTGAAAAAGTGTATTATGGTTAATGGTTAACAAAAACGAATACCCGATTTTGTAAGAGCTCTGGATATTGATTGAAACTGAATAATACGTTCGTTTACATTTAATGTTTGAAGTGTTGCTATATTTTTTGTGCATAAAGGATCGTGGAATCCAATTAATTCATCTGTTTAAAACTATTGCTTAAATTACAAACCGATTAGTAAATCACTTCGTAAGGGCATTGAAATAAATCTTTCAAAATTACCTATTTAACAGACAGAAGATTCTTTAATAAAAATTGAAATTTGAATGAAAATAACTTACAGCAACAGAACTTCCTGAAATTTTGAGTACTTACAACAGTAATAGTAGGTGTAACAGCAGAACTCTACCTAAAATTGTAATAAAATTATTATTAAAAACAATACATCTAAATAAATACAGTAATACATCAAATTACATTAGATACACAATAATTTTTAAAAAATATTTGTTAATTTATTTTAAAAATTAAAAATTAAAAAAAGTTATAAATTAACAATTAAAACTAAATAAATATAAAATAAGAAACTTATTTTTTAAGATTTGTGAAATATCGACAACAACTAAGATGAAAAAATGAAAACAACATTAAAACAAAAAATATTGTTAGTCTAAAATTGATCTTTTGGCTATTAGTCAATGATTAGAAGTAGTTTTAGTAACGAAACAACCTAACAATCATTTTTAACGATAGACACCAGCGAGAAGGTAAGCCAAGTTGTCTATCAACACAAAACATCACAACAATAACATCACAATCACAAAACACACAGATCCTGTGGCACTAAACGCTGAAAAAAACGCTGGGGCAGATATTCTAATGATGCCCTTTCTCTTTTAGACAAGGAGCAAAAATGCATTGTAAACCTCCAACCATTATCACATTGTTGTAATGGTGCTTCTCTTTCTCTTTTCTACAAATATGGGCACTGCTCTAAAGAGCTAGCGTCCCTTGTTTATCTACAAAAATTCATTCTCTTGTGACTGTTTCTAAGTGCTCCAAAAACTCTTATTCTTCTATTTTTTTCCTCGAACATCAGTTCTTTGGAATTCGCTTCCTTTATAATTTGCAATCTTTTAAGTCATCTGTCAATTGTTATCTTACTCTACAAACTTCATCCTTTTTCTTCCAGTAACTTTCAACTCCTACAATGATTGCTTGCAGCCTAGTTGGAACAACTCACAAATATACATACAATGACTTACTGTTGTTTCAACGCTGTGCCACAAGACCAACAGAACACAAACATAAATAAAAAAAACAAAAACTTGATCAAAATGACTAACCTGCATTATCAAATGAAATTATAGCCATTCCACAGTTCCAACAGAAGAGTAAGATACATATAATGACTTACAGGTAAATAAACACAAAGATACACATAATGACTAATGGCTACATAAATACAAACATACATATAATGACTTACAGGTGGGTCAGCACCGCTCCAGTGGTGCAACAGAACACAAACATACACATAATGACTGATAGGTACATAAACACAAACATGCAGAACCAACAAAACACAAATATACACATGAGTAACAGGTATATAAACACAAACATACAAATAGTGACTTACGGGTGTGTCAACACCGCTCCAGAGTTCTGACAGAACACAAACATACACATAATGACTAACGGATACATATACACAAACATACATATAGTGACTTACGGGTCGTCAACACCGCTCCAGAAGTCCAACAGAACACAAACATACACATAATGAGTAACAGGTACATAAACACAAACATACATATAGTGACTTACATGTGCGTCAACACCACTTCAGAGGTCCAACAGAACACAAACATACACAAAATGACTAACAATGTTTACATAAACACAAACATGCGTTTTTATTTTTTTATTTAAAGGAAGCTGATCATAGTTTTCAACAACAAAAAACAAAATTGCTTCACTCCAATGTTTAAATTGGTGAAAAAATCTTGAATTAACAATAGTGCGATCTGTCATCAAAGATTTGAAAGAAAAAATAAGTTTCCTAAGATCATTCTCGTGGTTTTCCTTGTCAGGAGAAAATATCTTAGACATATCAGTGAGTAAGTTTTTTAGCTCTCCAAAATAAGATTGTGCCTCTCCCGAAAACATATCTTCTATCCCAAACGTGTAGCTACCAGATGATGTTGTGACTTGAAAACTACCAACCTCTCTAAAATTATATTTTGTGCCATCTGTATGAAGGACATTGTTTGTACTAATCAACATAGCCTCTCTCACTTGAGCTTATGCTAAAAGGTTCATTTCAATAAAAAATTCAGAAGCCAAAGATTTTTTTGGAAGTGTGCCACATGACATTCCAGCCATCTTTTGTAGTACAGTTCTGATAACAAATTCAACATTATTAACAGAAACATTTTTACTTAAAAGGTCGTAATATACCGAGCGAATTTCATCATTATATCTACCTCCTTCATAAATGTCAATTACATTTTTTTTTTAAATGTCAACTCTTTCCTTCAGTTCTTCTGTAAGATTTTCAAAGTAATTCAAAGTCTTTTTTAAGATTGAATCATTTGTTTCATCAGATGTTTTCAAAATAGTGTTTTCAATTTTTTCTTTAAATACCAGGCCTATTGTCGATCTGATTAGGAATGCTTTCTAACCAAATCAATTTCTTTTTCTAATTTTAAATTTATTTGCAACAATTGGTTAATCTTACAATCTTTTCTAACCTCTCTTTTGTTGATATTTCGAACATTATATTTTGACAAGATTGCTTGATATTTTCTTTTATATTCATAACATCTTCTATTATTTTTTTTATTTAGCAATCTCCGTTTATATTTTTTTATTTGATAGGTCAAATCACCAGATAATATAGGGAGTTTTTTATCCGAATTGGAAACTGGAAAATTCTCTTCATTGACTTGTGTTTCAATGAAAAAATTATCAGAATCATTACCTAAAGGGATGTGTACAATAGAATTTGGAGTAACAGAGCACAAATAATTATCACTAGAAATTTGCATGTTTACATCAGAAAATACAAAATCAGTAACTTGATTTGGAATAATTTCGTTAGAGTGGATAGAAGTAGGGGTAGACCTATCTTCAGAAGGTAACAAACCAACAACATCATTAAATGCAACATTCAAAGAGAAAACAGAGCTTAAAATTTTTTTTGTTAAATCAAAATTTTTGGCACGATTTAATTTTGCAATGAAATCTTTTGATTTTTTTAGGCATTTGATAAGCATAATTAGGAAACTGAATATAGCATAATAGCATAATAGCATTATAGCATAAGCATAAATAGGAAACTGAAACAAGGATGTAAAAAATAATGTAAGCTGCGGCCATGTCAAGTAAAATTAATCTTTTTCTGAACAACATAGTAAGAAATGACTATTGGTTAAAACCAAATCTGGATTTTTGAGGGATACAATGCTTCCATTAATATTTAGATAATCCAAGACAGTGTTGGATGCTAAAATTAAAAGTAATCTTAACTTAAGTGACAACAAAGAAAAACAAGGGGTTGATCATTACACTTTGGTATCAATAAATAGAATTACTAAAATCAAAAAAATTTTGACTTACTTTCTTGAGTTATAGATGGAGCAACCATTTTTTCAGGACTATTGTTAATGCCAACACCTAAAGTAAGGGGATTAAAGTAAGTATTACTAGAGTTCATAATACTTTAACCAACAAACAAAAATAGATAAATAAATGTAAAAAAAAAATAAAGAATTTCTTACTCAAGTCCATTTTCGTGAGCTTTAGTTCAATACTATTTTCAGGTTTTTGTTTTGAAAAAAAAAACAGTTTAAATAAGGACAACCTGTAGTTAAAATAGTGAAAATCAAGCTTTTAACTTTCTTGCGCAATGCAGAACTTATACCTGAGAAGAAGTAAAATATTTATTTTCATTTGATTAAAATTTTAAAAGTTATACTTTCACTATCAATTTATTTTATATAATTTGACCAAAACAAACGCAAAAATAAAAATAAATAACGTCATAAAATACGCGAAGAAAAGCATATATACCCAGTGGGCACGGAAGTAAAAAAACGTCTTTTAAACGTCTTATACACGTTTTAGACGTTTTCTGAACGTCTTTTGAACGTTTTGGACGTATTTTAAACGTTTAAAAGACGTCTTTTTTACTTCCGTGCCCACTGGGTATACACATAATTTATATACGCAATTCCTTAGTTCCAATTCTTTAGGTAAATTTAAATAAATACTTGTTTTAAATAGAAAAAAAGGCTAAACTTGCCATTTCCACCTGGACGTTTTTGAAAAACACTTTTTTTCATATAAATCAACCTTGAAGTTTTTAAACGCTGAGAACTAAAATTTTTTGTATAAAAGTTAAAAAACGTTGCATTAGATTCCTCGTCCTTTTCTTAATAAATATAGAAAGTTTCATAAAAAATAGATGTGTTTAAGTACAAAGGAATCCATACCTTTAAAAGCTTCGTTTCAAAAAAACGTTCCCGCGGCAAGTTTTTTATGAAAAAAATAGTCTTGAGATATTGACAATATATAAATAAAGCCATACAAACCTTAGTACTTTCTATATATGGTTGGAAAGAGATTGAGTAAAACTAACTGATGCAAAGAACCTCAAGGCGCTAGCTTAACCATACAAAAAGATATAAGAGAGCAAAGTTTATGAAAATTACGTGTTTTTTGTCAAACGCCAAATGTTTTTTGTTAAGCCGTGGAATCGCTAGTATAAGCATAACAAGCATTTTTTGGTTATGTTGTTGTACGCGGGGGCATATTTTATGATGGACCATTTTAAATAGGATGTTGTTTTTGTTTTATTTTATGTATTCCATATATATTTAGAAAGCGTGGTTGCATTTGTGAGTATATATATATATTTTTGAAAAAAGACGACTACAATTAGATTTGTTTTTTTTTTTTTTGTTTTTTTCTTGAATATTCAATATAGTTATACAATAAGATAGTTGAGATAAAAATCGTTATACAATAAAAGAAAATATATACAAAAAAGAAAAAACGCGGAGACTCGCAGAAGACCTTCAGGTCTTATCATCGAGAACCGCTCGTGATTATTAAGTACATTAAATTAATATAAAGTATAATAAAATCTAAACAATGTCGTATTAAAAATTAGCGAGAACGTAAATTTCGTAATAATATATAAATAAAATTGAAATAAAGAAATTGTTGATACTCTTATATATAAATACAAAAATATTTTAAAAAGTACTGTTTTCACAAACACATAAGTTATGGATCAGATATATTATTTATATATTACCTTATGTAATAAACTTCATATTCATTTTTAAAAGAATTTAAAAATATAAAAAAATGTCTTCAAAAGACAAAACAATTTCTTTAAGTTTTTTCTTGAATGAAAGATAATTCCATTCATGGGAAAAATCAAAATTTTTTAAAACTATTTTGTTCCATAGAAAAGCTCCTCGATATGAAATACATGACTTTCCAAAATTAGTTAAAGATAAAGGTTGCTGAATTTGATTATCATTTCTTAAGTTATATTTATTTTTATCTTTTAAGGTATATAGATTATGAAAAGAAACTGGAGATTCGTTGGTTTTACACTTGAACATAAAACAAAGTATATTAAAAGTATTTAGCTGATAAATATTAAGAATTTTCATTTGAAATAATAATGGTTTGGCATGAGCAAATCAATCTTTATAATTGATAAGCCGAGCAACATGCTTCTGCTGACGATAAAGAGGTAGCAGTTTAGATTTATTGGTATTACCCCAAGCAATATTTGCATAATTTATATGGCAATGGATTAAAGAGAAATATAATTGTGTTAAACTGTGTTTATTTAAAGCATTTCTAGCCTTGTACATTACTCCTATATTTCGAGCAACTTTGTTGCACAATAAATCAATGTGATACTTCCAACTAAGGTTTTCATCAATATTTATTCCTAAAAAGTTAGTAGTTTGTTCTCTTTTTATTTGAACTTTGTCAATAAAAAGTAAGGGCATCACAGGAGGTAGTAGCTTTTTTTTTGAAGTTTGATGAAAAAGTATCCATTTAGTTTTTTCAACATTTAGTGACAGCTTATTCACTTTAAACCAGTCAGAAACTTTTGTTAATTCAATATTCATATTTTGGAATAATGTTGTTATGTTGTTATGAGCTAAAAAAAGATTTGTATCGTCGGCAAACATGACCGTCATAAAATATATATATGTGTATATATAGTATGTATATGTTTATATGTGAATATATAGTATGTATATGTGTATATATGTATATAGAGTATATATAGATGTGTGTGTATATATATATATATATATATATATATATATATATATATATATATATATATATATATATATATATATATATATATATATATATATATATATATATATATGCATGTTAAAGATATATATAAATAAAATATTAAATATATGAAATCAGTAATATATATCATATAAATATAAATCTATAGTCTTATGCAACAAGATGTGTTTTATTTGAATGGCCCATTTGATAACCACATCTATTTTTGCACGTATTTATTTAAAACGTATCCCACATTAGGTGGAACGGTTATGTGAAGCGTATTCTGTGTTCCGCATGTAGACCACACCAATCATCAGTTTATATACAGTCATCTAGAATATAGTTTTAAATATTTACTCCACTTATAAGCACTATGGCCACACGTGGGCCACATATACTTTTTTTTTTGTCGGGTAATGACATTTAAATACATCATGAATCGGATTCGGATATAAATTATATTACGGAAGTAACTGCTGTTCAAAGCAGCTCATATTATTTTTCCTATGAAACAAAAAAATTTATTATTTGAATACTTTCCATATTAACATAAAAAGCTTATCAAAAAATTTTGAAAATTTTTATAGTTTAATTTGTTTGTCAGAAACTTAGTGCAGGTCAGATAGCGCAAGTTCTAAAACCAAAACCTGTTTAACAGGTTTATAAAAAAAAATCTTTAAAGCTTAAAAAGAAAAAGCGAGGCGGTGCACAATGAGCTTGAGTGGTGAAAATTATGAAAAAATCTTACATAACTATCATGTTATATAACTTTTCATCGTACATCAATGCTACCGTATTTTGGGTCAAAAAATTTAAATTCGCTATTAAAACTAACTTTAACGCGTACTTAGAACGTCATTTACGAGTGTACATGTGTAAGTGTGTAAGTATATTTAGGTTTTAGTGTACATGTGTAAGTGTATTTTTTTGTATTTTGGTGCCCCAGAAGTCCTTGCAGTCTTACCACAGAGTACCATGTATCAACTAATTAAAACGCATGAATAAATCTGTAACGCGAAATTTTGGAGCTGAAATAATAATATTAACTTTTTTATAAATAAAAATATGTTAGCAAAATTCTAATTCATTTTTGTTTGGAAAACAATGCATAGAAATATTAAGTTTTGACTTTGTGTAATTTGTGCCATTTTTGTGTAATATGAGCATGCTCAAATAACACAGTGTTTTAATAGAATCTATAATCACTTTACCAAAAACAAATTATTTTACCCAAACCAGTTTGGATTTCAAAAAAACCTTTCAACAGAGCATGCAATTATTGAATTAGTTAATCAAATAACCGATGGTTTTAATCAAAACAAATTTACTTTAGGAGTTTTTTTTGACTTATCAAAAGCTTTTGATACAGTTGACCACTGCATCCTATTAGATAAACTAAAATACTATGGTATAATTAATAAAACTTACAATCGGATTAAAAGTTATCTTACCAATAGAAAACAATATGTGTGCAATAAACAATCTGGAGTATTAAATGTTTTATGTGGAGTTCCCCAAGGATCTATCCTTGGTCCACTTCTGTTTCTAATTTACATAAATGATTTTTGCAATGCATCTTTAAAACTATATTCAGTCAAGTTTGCTGACGATACAAATTTATTTCTTACTAACAGTGATATCAAGAATCTATATGCAGACATGAATATCGAACTAATTAAAGGAAATAATTGGTTTAGAGCTAACAAACTCTCGCTTAACTCAGAGAAAACAAAATATATATTATTCCATAAAAAGGCGCAAGAAGAAAACCTTCCTCTTAAGTTGCCTGACCTTATCCTAAATGATAACTTAATTAAAAAACAAGCCAGCATTAGATTCTTAGGAGTTCTTGTTGATAAGAAGCTATCCTGGCTTCCTCAAATAAGATATATTCAATCTAAAATCAGTAATATAATTGGTATGATGTATAGAGTTCGCTCATATATCAATAAATAAAGTCTAAAACTAATTTACTTTGGACTAATTCATTGCATTATCAGCTATGCAAACATATCATGGGCAAGTACTCAGCCATCAAAACTTAAAAAAATCTATAGTCTACAAAAACACGCATGCAGAATCATTTACTTTAAAAATAAGCGGGAGCATGCAAAACCTATAATGAAAGATATGAAAATGATGGATGTTTTTGAAATAAATATCTATCAGCATTTAATTTTTATGTATCAATTTAATAATAATCTCTCTCCTACAAACTTTACTAACAAGTTTGAAATAAACATAAATGAAAACTACTATCTAAGAGCAAATATAAGTAACACATATAAACTGCCTCAAAACCTTAATAAATATACTGAATATAGCATTGCATATCGGGGGCCAAATATATGGAATAGATATCAAAAAGGATCCAAATGTATGGCAAAGTCATTAAGTTCATTTAAGTTTTTGATAAAAAAAGAAATTTTTAAAATTTGATTATTATTTGTGCTTAAAAAGATTACAAAGTAATTTTCTTTATAATCTTATTTATTTGTTTTTATTGATCAGCGCAGCAGTTTTATGCCCATTAGGGTTTTTAATTTAATTTAATATCCTTAACCTAATGAAAATGTATATAGGGGGCTCTATGAAAAGATTGCGATGACGTGATTTGTCATCTTCATCTTTTTTGAGCCCCTGTCTGTTTAACTCTTTATTTTATAAAGATCATTGTAAAAAAGTATAGTTTATTTTATATACTGTATATACAAAAACGGTGCTTGTTGACAAGATTTTACTGTCTTCTTTGTTATACGGACATATTTCTTTCTTTCTTGTATATATATGTGTTGATTATATTTGTTAAACAGCAAAAAAACAAAAAAAAAAACAAAAAAAAAAAAATTATCAAATATATCAATTTTAAAATTATTATTAAGTTTATTATCTTTGGGCGAAATTGTCAACTGTACAAACTTATTTAATGCTCTGGCGTTTTTTACATTTGCAAAAAACCGATGTGTTCTGCCAACATGACTTTTAGCATTTTAATATATATAAATAAATATAAGAAACTTTAACATTTTTATTTTTTAAGTAAAATTTAATTTTTTTTTTAAATAATTAATATATAAAAAAGTTTAATCGAAATAAAACTTAATGTCTGATTTACTATTAAGCAAAAGTTATATAAATTTAACTTTCGAACAAAAAAACTCCAAAAAAAAATTCTTCTAAGTTTCGAATTTTTTTGTTTCGTTGTCAACGAAAATCTTAAAAAAAATGGCGAATACTTTAAACTTCAAAAATATTTGTTATTAGCATAAATGTGATTGTGTGCAGAATATAATTTTATTTTTTTTAATATAAAATAAAATTTCATCAACTTTCAATAAACCTGAAAACTCATGAGTTTATCGTTAACATCATGTATAATAACGAAGGTTGAATATAATAAAGAAATATTGCAGTAAAAAAAGAAAAAATATTGTCAAAAAAATATTTATTATTAATTTAATAAGAAAAAAGGTAATTACCGTAAAAATATATTTAATCTAATTTTAGTATTTTATATAATTAACACTTTTTGATATTAATTATATTTTAATATTTATAGAAACAAAAGAAAAAATATATTAATATTATAATCAAAATGATCAAAATTCATGATATAATTATAAAAATATAAAAAAAAAGTTTATAAAAAAAAATTATATATTTAAACAAAGATTAATATCAATTATTATTAATGTTATTATTATTATTAAAAATGTTAAAAAAATAATAATTATGAAAAACTATGTACAACAAATATAATTATATATTTAATAGTTTATGTAATTACTATTTTAACTAATATATTTTAAAAAGAACTAATTATAAATATGAATAATATTATAATATAATATTGAACTTTTTTATTTAAACCTAATATATTTAAATTATTTCGTATATTTAAAGCAAATATATTTATAAAAAAATAAATTAAATAATCTAACTTTTTCTTATTTTTATTATTTAAAAATAAATTATATTTTATTTAATATTTTATAATTATTGTTTTTATTTTATATATTTAAAATATTAAACATTTTTCTGCGTTATAAAGTTAATTCATCGAGGTTATAAAAATCTTTTCCACGGTACTCGATCCTAAACTTCTTGATGTTCGAACAACGAATCCATTCACAAATGTCTTTAATGAAATCAATGTCGTCGTGAAGTGAAAGATCTAATTCTTCACAAAGATTAATCCAAGGAAGAAAATTTTCTTCAAAATCTTTTTTTGTTATTAAAAAAAAAAATAAAATCGTCAACACTTCAATCTTATCTTTCGGTTTCCATCCTTCGAAATTAATTGGACGATAAAACCAGACAATGCGAACATTAGTTGAACATCGAATTAAAAGATTTTTTTCTTCATCACTTAAAATATTTTTTTTAACACTTAACCAATTTAACTTTCTTCCAGATTTTATGTAATAATTTACGAAATAATTATCGCAAGAAGTTGCGTAAGAAGTTTTTCCATCGTCAATCGAAATCGTCCAACCATCTTTTATCCACCACCGCCGCCACCACCGTCGTTTATTTAGTTCATCAACAATTGATTTTATTTCATCAGTGAATGACGATTGACTTTCGTAAAAACATTCGTAGAAAAAATTGATATTATTAAAACGATTAATACTTTTAGATAGACGATCTAAAGAAAAATTAAATGTTAAATATAACAATAAACAAATAAATAATAAACAAAAAATAAAATAATAATCAAAATTGTGATATTATACATATAATATTATTTTTTTTCTATGTACATATATTAAAATTAAACTATAATTAAATAAAAAATTGAATACATTTTCATATTATTAATAAATATATTATATTTATGTTATATTATAATAAACATAATCACATTAATAATAAATGAAATTATATATAAAACTTAATAAAACTTTTAAACAAAATAACTTCTTAATAAAAATTATAAAAAATATACTAATTTTATTATTTTGAACATAATTTTTATATTAATAAATTTTATTATAAATGTTGTGTTTATAATTTTTAATAACCAATAACATACATATATAAAATATATTTTTTACTTAAAATAACATAAAACAGATTAAAAATATGTTTAACCTAGAAAAAATGCATTATTTATTCAAATTGTCATTAGAAATAAATATCATCATTTTTTTTTATATAAGAAGATAAAAAGGAAAACCTGTTTTATTTATATGCAAATTTATAAAGAACTCAATGTATTTATAAACCGAATTCCTACAGAACTTGTTCAAATTTAAAATTTACATCGAAAATCTCCTTCGACAATCTTTTTTAAAATAAGTTAATTAAATAAATATGAAAAAACGTCAAAGAGTGAGGGTTCAAATATTTGGTGATTCGATTTCGACGTCGATTTGAAACTTTGAAGAAAATTAATAAAAATTTGCAACTTTTATACAACTTATAAATTAAATTTTGATGCAATTAGCGCTTCTTGAATAAGGCTACAAAATATATATTATTAAAACATAAAAAAAAGCAACTAACGCAGCTAAGAAGAACCAATAATCTATTCAATCAAATTTAAATTTTTATACAAATTATATCGAATGCATGTTTTTTGGATAGACAAATAAAATTTTGTTTTAAAATTTTGTAATTCATGTAACAGTCATTTTAAAGAAAAGTTTTACTTTCACTATCATTTTATAAAATTAATATTTCTCTTTACGAGTGACCAAATGAACACAAGTTCTAATGAGAAAATTTAACTTACGGTGAGAACATAAAAAAAACTACTAATAACAATAGTGTCACAAGAGTATTAAAACTTGGACGAACTGTCTATTTACAAATTATTGAACTATATTGTGGGAATATTTTACATGTTTATTAAATCGAATGAAACGAATAAAATTAAAGTCGCTTGAAATTACAGTCTTAGAATAGAATCAGCTTATATCTTGAAATCAAATTATTATCAAAAATATTAAATTTAAATATTATATTTTCTTGCATTTTTTTTGTTTAAAAAAAATCACTGAATATATCAACAAAATAAACGAAAATGAAAAAAAAAAAATTGTTTTCATAATTATATTCAAGAGGTCATTGTCGTCGTATCGCCTTAAAACAATTCGACTTTAGTTCCAAAACATAAACTTTTTAAATGAAAAGAAAAAATTGATTATAAAACTGAAGTATACTTACAAAATTTAAAAAGTTTTGTTACCAGTGTGAATTTTAATAAACAATGATAACAAAATGATACCGTAAAGCATTTTAAGTAAATAAATTGAAAAGTGAGTTTTATAAATTTAAAACTCGATCATCGAACTTCAAAAAATCTTTTAATAAATTCGAAAAAAACAGTAAATATTGAAAACAAACGTTTCGCTTATAATATGATTTTGTAACCATCGCAACCGATTTCCAAATGCACGATAGCGGTAGCAGGTTCTTAAAACGAAAAGATTAAAACCGAAAAAACCTTATTATAATTTTACATACAACCTACTTTTTAAAATTGTTATATAATTTTTGTTCCTACAGCCCCGGATCATTGTAACTAAAATGGAAAACACTAAGCCATCAAAAAAAAAAAAAAAAAAAAATTTATTCAACTGTATTTTTTTATCAACTGCTTTTTAAAAGATATGGTCGTTCGACTAAACAAAAAAAATTTAAAAGAGCGCCGATTTAAATGTAAATGTTTTTGATAAGATTGAACTCTTTACAAAAACTTGCTGCACTTTTAATTATATTGGCAAATATAAAATTATTTAACTGTTAAAAAAATTATTACACTAAATTGCTGAATAATAATTTTTATTTTATGTAATTAATTATATTTTATATATCAATTACTTTGATATATTATTCACTTTTATTGTAGAATTTTTATTTGTTGTAATAATTCTTAAAATGCCTGCATTCTATTACAAAAAGATAATATATAACTGTTTTCATATGCAGTAAACAACGTTCGTCTAAAGAATTTTTTCATGCTGCAATAAACGACACTTGTTAAAGTGTATGTTCTTGTAAACATGGAAACGTTTGTTTAAAAAAAAAAACAGAAAGAAAAACGAACGTCACTTTTCTTTAATTTTGCTTATGCAAACTTTGGCGTTTGTTTAAAATTAATAAAAATAAACGTATTACTTTAGCGTTTTTTTTCCAAATATATATGCGATTGATAGTTTTTTATTTAATATAAAAACACATATTTATAATAAATATAATATTTTTAAAATTACATTTTACAGTGCAGACTTCAAATTTGAATGAATTTGATGCTGTTTTGACTACTATGGAACTGCTATTTGATAAAGACAGACCTAAATTTTAGTTCAAATATTATACTAATTTAATTTATCTTAAACAAAGTGAAGAAAGAATATTTATGCAATTGTTTTGCAAGAAACGATGTATACCACAAGGTGACTCGTAACCTCAACGCCCAACACAAGGACATCTTGACCTTGATAAACAATTGATATAACTGATAAACAATTTAGTAAAAAATAAAAGAAATCAAAGATTATTAAAATGTAAACTGCAATATTTTTATAAGGGAAATTTTAATCAAAAATTCATATATTTATATGCCCTATATAAAAATATAAAAAATATTAATGTTAGTCTTGCTCTAAAACAAGCAGTTTTTAGTCATTTTAAGGTCCGTTTTTTTGTTTCAAATATGTCATTTGAGGGCAAAGAATGAGTGATTCAATGGCGTTCAAATTTTTTACGAGTTAGTTTAATCATATTTGCTTCAAATATAGATGGTTTGGTTTTTCAAATACCAAAACTTTTTAATGTCTAAGAGATGGTTTCAATAACAGTAACTATGTCAAACAAGAGTTGTGCATTTAAATTTAAATGAATCGGTTTTTGTTAAAAGGGCGTAAGTCACAAAATACATTTTTTTTAAAATATAAAAAAACTTAATATCAAAAAAACTTCTTATTAAAAAGATTTTTGAAAATTAATTTGAAAGTAAAAGTTACTGTTTTATAAAATTGGTAAAGTTTAATAAAGTTTAGTATTTTATTTTTAAACGACTCTTTAGAATTATTTTTGAACAAAAATATTTTAAACCATTCTTTCGAGTAAATTGACATGGTTTAAAAACCGTTATAAATGAATTTAACATCAAAACTTTTTTTAAGTTTTCCACCAAATTATTATTTTTCAACCAGAAGTTTACTTGTAACTTTTTTTGAGAGTATTTTAATATTAGTTTTAATGAAGCATAAAAAAAAAAGTGCAAAAATATGTTGCATTCTCCACCATACATGACAGAAACCTATTTAGGATGCAAAAAAATAAATATTATCTCCACTGACACACACTTAACATGAAACTACACTCTTGCTTAAATAATACATGGGAGGAAAGGTTTTTAAAATTTTGAAAAACTGTCCCACTCACCCCCTATAAAATTTCGTACCCTACTTTTTATTATTGTTTACTTTCTTTTAGAAAAAACAATTAAATCCTTCCGTGAAAAAATAAAGTTTCCAAATTATTCTTTATAAATGTAATTATAGTAATTCCTTATTTGTAATAACTTTATATTCTTATAATAACTTGACTTTCTTGTTGAAGACGATTTAAAAGTAATTTTAAGCAAAGAAAGAAAATAGACTTTTTATTAAAAACCATATGAAAGTGATTTCAAGATTTTAATAAAATACTTAAATGAATTATTTCAAAAACAAAACATTGAAAAAGACTCTGCAGTCTTTTTTATAATATTTTATTTTTTAAAAAAAAAATACTTCGTTTAAGAAAAACTTATTTGTGTTTTACTTTATTTTTTATATATAACTTTGATTTTTTTCAAATAAAAAAAAATTGTTTCTCTTGCTACACTTAACCAAAGATTTGAGAAATTATATGTCTAGATCATGCTTGAAAACAGTCTGTTCGAAAATATCAAATAATAGCCACGAATTCGCTCTTACATAATCAACCACTGAAGGTATTTCCAAATTTTGAAAGCTGACGCTGCATCTAATTTAAACATTTTCCGATGGAGAATCTGCCAGAACAAAGAGCTGGTCCTGTACAGTTAATAATTCAATAATTTTTAACATTATCTTATCAAATAATAATGCTAATAATGAGTTTATTTATGACATTATGAAATCAAAGGCTAAAAAAACTATTCTTGATTGCAGCTGTATCTGAATTCCCAGCTCTGAGAAATTTAGGAGAATAGAAAATTGAAATATATGTTGCCATCTTTTCCACATTCTTTATCTTCCTTTTGTCTCATGTTCAGGATTTGCTTTGTCAAATTATAAGGAAGCATGACATTGCAAACTCTTCAGATCAGTAAATACTTACTGCCATAAAACGTGTATGGTTTACTGCCCCAGGCTTGTGAATGTTGAGATGCTTGAATGTTGGTTCCTAAAAAATGAGAGCTAGCTCAGTAAGTTCCTGGTAGTCTCTAGTTCTGGTAATATTGGATATTGTTTTTATTAATAAATATTTCACATTTATTACATAAACTTGAACATTTTAATGGCTAGAAAAATTAACCTGAAAATATTTGAAAACACCTTCATTAACAAGTGTTATTAAAAGATTTCTTTCCTCATCTGCTTGTTCTTTAAACTAAGAATGACAAATCTGTTGCGAATTGAAGTGATCAATAAACTGTGTCATTATCAACATCAACAAAAGTACATTTCCAGGTTTGCTGACCTATGGTAACTGCTGACTCATAATGTTCTAAGAATATATCTAAAACTCAATCTAATAAAATTGAAGCCATTAATGAATAGTTTGTTGTATTAGCTCTCAGAGTTCTTTTGTTGAATTATTAAAAAAAATTGTTTACCTGCAAATAGCACAACAAATTAATCCAGTATTGGTAGCAGTAGTGTCAAAGAAAACCATTCTTACATAATCAGCAATACCAAACTCGGTCAAAATCTCCTTGATAGCTTAAACCAATTTAATCCTGTATGGGAAGGACCCCATAGAGCACTAAAAAGATGAGTAGTTCCTTCAGCTCTCACAAGAATGCAAATCTTAGCAACTGTTACATCAACATTCATTTATAACATGTTCTGGAATTTGGAATCAAATAAATATGTAATAAAAAATTTTTCATTGTAATTATTTAACATACTAGTTATAAATAAATATATGCAAACCTTGATTAACTTTCAATCAAAGTGTAACTGAATTTTTATCTTATTTTGTTTGATCTTATTTTAAATAAGAACCTTAATATAATCAGCATCTTTGTTGATGTTATTTTTCAATTAAAAAGCATAAGTATAAGAATGAGATCTCCAGCTGTGGTGACAGCTGGGGATCTCTTAGGGAAAGCTTAATTAGGGTTACTAATATTTTATGAGCTGTTGTATCCATGCCTATAGCTATTCTCAGTCTCTTCAATCATCTTTATGTTGACAGCAATACTTTATTTCGGCTTGTCAAAATTTCTTAGTGAAAGTGCCTGTAATTAGTTTCTATTAGAAACAAGTACATTCATTTATAACATGTCTAGTACTTGGTTCTAAAAAAATATTTCAGATGAATGTGCAACTATAGTAACACAAATCATTTTCTGAGTTGGACTGTGTACTTGGTTTTGAAGAAAATATTCCTGATGGATGTACAACATCAGTAAAGCACACTTTAGTACCTCTCGAATGATTAAATAAACTTTCACAAAAACTTGTCGATGCTGTAAATTTTGTTTATTTGAATTTCAAGTTCAACGTTTGGTTTAAACTTCAGTCACTACCTTCCTTTTTCTCTAGCCTACTTTTTCCCATTTCTCATTTACATTTTAAAATAAATAAAATAATACTTATAAATTTAAAATAAATCAATACATAAAGATTTCACATGAAATATTTTTTCCTCTTACAATTTGAAATTTTTTTTCAAAATAATTTGAAAAACTCTTGTTATAAATTATTAAATAACAATATATAAAATATATTTTAAATTAAGTTAAAGTAGAAAACAAACTATTTTTCAATACCATTAAACATAAAACTTTAAAGAGACGAAATAAAAAAATAAATTAAAAAAAAAACCTAAATTTACCCAAAAAACCCACTGGAACAGAGTTTTTTTAAAAAACCACAGGTTTTTGCTAACCCTGCTTTAAGTCTTTGAAAAATTCAGTGCAAGATTGTGCACATCCTGCCTTACTGTTGAGCTGGTTCTTGTTGAGTTTTAAATATCTTTAATATATTTTGCTATATTTCTTTGCAGTGTGACAAGCCCAATAATTGAAAAACCAGATCTTAGCAACAAAGTACACCTAATAGTACCAAAGTGACGGATCCAAAATTTTTTGGTGTTTGAGATAGTTAACTTCCAGACATGGAGCAATCCCTAAATTTTTGTATAGTTATACTTATGTCAAATAATAATGCTTTGCAAAAAACTTGTGATGGTTACAGACTAAGAACAAGGCCCTTTGACTTTAAATGCAAGAGGCAACAAGTTGATAAATTTTTTTTTTTACTTTTCTCAACTAGACTTATATTTATTAATAGATTTTAAGTTCATAGTAGTAACAGTAAAATTATAACTATTGAAAACTAATACTAGTATGAAAATTATTACTATTAAAATTAATAATATTAATAAATTAAATATATAATAATTAAATTAATAAATTAATAAAAATTTATTTATAAAAATTTAAGTTCATTGTAATAACAGTATGACACTTTACTAATAATTTTGTATGTTAAAAAATTACATAAAAAACTTTTGAAGAAATTTTTAGCAAAAAAATACACTTTTCAGAAAATTTATTCCAACAAATATAATTTTTTATGAAACTTTATATAAAACTAAATTGGTTTCTTAATGCAGTTAAAATGTTAAATAAAAAATGGTTCTTTGCAGGTATAAGATCAGTTTGAACTAATTAAATTAAAAACTATAAATTGAAATTAAAGTTGTTGCGAAGCGGACAAGATATACGATACTTATTTTGAGCACTGGGACCCATTCTTTTTATAAGATACAGAAAAAGCTTGCTCGCTACTAGAAAGACATCTTAACTGGTTTACCCACCAAAAAATGTTCCTTGGTACAAGCACTTACCCTTCTTCTTTTAACAAAATTCTTATACATTTTAGAATTTTTAAACTATTAAAAAACCTGTCACAAATCTTCATTTTAAAAAAATTGCATTAAAAACATTAAAAAAACTAATTTAACACTGTTATTAGTTATTAATTATATTAACTAAATATAAATTTTACAAATGTTTTTCAAATAAAAATCAAGAATAAAAATAACTTTAAACTATATTAAATGAAAACTTTAAATAAAGATTTTAATGTATAAAAAAAATGAAATTAATAAATATGTTGTCAGTAAGTGTTAAAAACCATGTAATAACTTCTTTATGTGCCATATACAATATTTATCAGTTTTTGATTGTCTTGCATTTTAAAATGTGACTTTTAAAGCCCCCTCAATTTGAGGGGGTTACAAATTTTATATGGTCATTAAATTTGAACGCTGAGAGATAATACTATAAAATTTAATGATGAATATTAGTCTAATTGAGAACAGTACAAAAAAAGTTTTAAACTTATTGCCCCTCACATTTGGGGTGGGGTGGGGTAGGGTGGCAATTATCCTTAATAAATATCTGACTTCTGCATATTTCTCGCATTGTTGAAATAACAACAAAATAATGTGATTTTATTGTTTGAACACTAAGTTTATAGAAAGATTAAATTAAACTTTTAGCTAATTTGTATAAAAGCTGATAGTCTAAAGATTAAAATAAGCTGAAAAGTTTTGAGTCTGGCCAAAAGAGGGCTTCCTTATTACATCCATAAATTACGTGACGCAAAATTTCACAATAAACAAAACAAAAAAAAGATCAAAAGTATATGATGCAACCTAATATATTTAAATATATATAAAAAGACTTGCCCAAACAGTTTATGTTTTTTAAAATTAAGTTTCGTTTTCTAAATAAAAGTCTGTCAATCAACTCAAAATTAAGAAATATTTAGTTCAAAATACCTTTTTATGTATGTGATTATAGTCATTTTTAGATTTAAATTTTTTTCAGAAAAATTTTTAATAAACTTTAAATTAAAAAATATCTAGCACAAAATACCTAAGAAAAAAATTTAAAAATGACTATAACCACATCGTCACCATCAGCATAATCACATCATCAATGCTCACATTTGAATAAATTTACTTCTTATCAAATCTTGTATATACAACTGTCATATTTTTGTATTCTAGTATAAATTTATATACAACTTAATTAAAACTATTTGTTTAAATTTTCTTCAAAAAATTGAAAATGTTGTTAAACGTACAAAAAATAAAAATAGAAAGTGTATCATTTAAAAAACAAAAGATTTAAACCAACTGATTTTTTTTTATTTTAAATTAAGTCAAATGATAAAATTATAAAATGAGAAAAAATCTTTCAAATTTAAACAAACAAATCCTTATTATTGTTTACTAAAAAATATTTAATTGATCAATTTAAAAAAATTACTTATTCAAATAAAAACAAAGTAAAAATAACTATATTTTTATATTTTATTGAACACCTGTAAGATTAACAAGAACGAATCACAATAATACCACAAAAACTTTGAACTCACCCAAAATAGAATACAAAAGGATAGGTTTTCCATTGGACCTTTTCAAAGGATTCAAGTTAACAAGAAACTTTATAAAACTATTTTGACTAGCATTAGATAATCCACAAATCATTGATAAACAACTCTTAAGCTTTTTATTAGTCATAATTTCATCACTACTTAAACAATTATATGCATATACAGATGCACAAAACTCCATTATAGTCAAGTGAGCAAACTGATAATAACAACCCAGATTTGTTTCAATCTTTTCTATAAATCCAAAAAAATTACCTTCATTTTTATCAAAGCCACTAACAAAAGTTTGAAACTCTTCTTTGGAAAAAATTACTTTATTTTCAACAAGTAGTTCATATGCAATTTTACAAATATTTAAAATATATTTTTTATTAGAATCGTTTTCCATTATCTGATAAATCATTTTATTGTTTTTAATGATGTGTTTTTGCAAAAAATATAAAAAAATATTTGCATACAGATCTGTCATTGTTAAGAAAGAATTTTTGTTTATTGTTTTTGAATCACTTATAATTTTACACATGGAAGATAAGTAAAAAGGAACTGATGCCATAGCTTTTGCAATTGGAGATTCCTTTAAAGTTGCTTTTACAATTTCTTTATTTTCTTCTATAACATGATTTTCTACATAATTTGTTATTCCATTTTCGTTAAACCCCATTATTTGAATGGTTAACTTATCACTACGATCTGTATATAAACTTTGATATTGATCTATTGCATAAACTCTACCAGCAACTAAATGTTTATAACTTTGAATTTCTGCTAAAACATTAACAATTGGATAGTTACATTTTATTTCCGGATTTGATAACTCATTAAAATATTTAAACTCATCTAACCCGTCAATAATAAACAGTGTTGTATGAAAACTAATACTGAAGTTACTTATAATATCTTTGTAAAAAAAGCTTAGTAAATCATTAATATTAGAAATATCTTCATATTGATTAATCCTCCTGCATTCTAAATAAAAAACAAGTTCAACATTTTTCCAAATTAAATCATTTGACCAATCAAGCAGACATTTTCTAAGCAACCATGTTTTTCCAATACCAGCGATTCCAGATACTAATATTACAGATTTTTCTTGCGTAAATACTTTACTGTATGGAATTGGTGTATAACTCATTTGCTTTTTAAGAAATTCATTTCGTTCAACACTAAAAACAGCATCCATTTGAGTTTTTGCTGCATCAACAATACATAGATCAACAAACCTATGTCTTAGATCAAGATTTGTGGATGTTTTTAGTAGTGTTTGAAGTTCACTAATTTCTCCATAATATTTAAGGTAATATTTTTTGAGTTCAGCAGACAATCTTAACAAATCTAAACAAAAATCTTTTAGTTAAACCATCATCATAATTTCGCTAATGTTCATGATCATGACGATAATGATCATTATTACTATAATTTTATATAGATATAAAATAATTATATATTAATATAACTTAAATATATTATATATTACTATAATTTGTATATAGACATAAAATAGCTATAACGATGTACTAGACATCATATAAATTTATTGAATCTAAATAATTTTTGTTTATCTAATTTTTATTGATTTAAGAATGAAGTTACTTAAGTTTAAATTTATTATATTTAACAAACATCGAAAAAAAACTTATGTTAAAGTTATTAATTAAGGAAAAACATTTTTATTTGACATTTATTTAAGGCTAAAGTTAAACAACTTAACAAAGTTAACAAACCTTATTTTTTGAAGTCTTTTAAAAACAATAGTATCAAAGAATAATGTAAAAGAAAAGTACTAAAGTTTTCAACATAAAAAGTTTTCAACATAAAAATTCTAGTGAGTAAATAACTAAAATCATTTATATGAATTTGATTTTTAATAATAGTAATAAATAGTAAAGTTACATAAAAAATTTATAAAAAGAATTTTGTCAAAAATATTTGTCATTGTCAAGAAAATTTACAAACTAAATCAATCTTATCATCCTACCCTAATTGACATCAATAAATTTAATGAGCTAAAGGCTATTTACTATTCAAAATAAAACAATAACGTTACAAATAATATATACAATGTTCAGTTTTCTCTGTTTAACCAGTGCTCTGATGCCTTTTTGAGCTTCCATTTTTTAGCCCGCAAAAATTTTATCAAGTGGATAAAAAAGCGCTAGCAAAAAAATTAAAAGCATTTTGTTTTAAATTGCAACAAAACTTTTCTGCTCATTTGTATGACTTTTACATAAAATGGCTTTTTTAAACAGTTTTTTATAAAATTATTTTATTTTGTAATTATTCACAACATTCTGTTTTCTACTTTTATTTTTATTTTAATAGCATTTAAAAAAATGAATTTTTTAAATCGCGCAGGCTAAATTATTCATACTGTCAGTGCTTTTTTGTGCGCTGGCATTCAATTTCAAACGGAGAAGACTGAATGTTATATATCAAACTTGCAGGAAAGTTACTATATAATTAAAATTAATGATAAATATACAGGTACATTTTTGCTGCGGGCAAGGTATCTCAATATAAAATTAGAAATAAATTACTTCAGTAATTTATTAATATAGTAATTTTATGATCACAATCTTCCTGTTATTAAAAATAATAACTCCTCTGCAGCTTGAATTATGGACAGTATTGTGAATGATTTTAAAGATTCAAGTAAACTCATTTAGAATAGGTACATTTATTTTATACAAAGTTCATGATGTTTGATAGCTGAAGGAGAGAATATGAAGGAGAACAAGCTGAAGTATAGTTTTAAACTTTTAAATATTTTTAAGTTTTTTTTTTTTCTTTTTCAGAACTGAATATTAGCAATATAAATGATAAGAAAAGCTAAAATTAGTTTAAAAAATAAAAAAAATTGGTCACAAACAAACATGCATTAAAGCATTAAATAACAAAAACATAAATAATGTTGAAGACTTAATAATTAGTCCTTCTAGGATTAAAATAAATATTAATGCAACTTTGAAAAAGTTAAAAAAGAAGACTGGAAAAGGTTTTAAAAATCAAAGTAGACTTGGCTAATTAGATTGCTAGTCTAAAACGATTTTTAAAAACTACAAAATCATGAAAGCAGTATTAAAAAAAAAAAAAAAATGGATTGTTTAAATTGAAATGAATAGTTTATTCAATTATTTAATATTATAAACTTTCTTAATTATTTTTACTTGAGTATAGTCGAACTGTTTTAGTAATAATTGTTTTACTTATGTCTTATTTCCAGTGTTAGATTAAGGAGGATTAGTGTTAGAGGGGTTATAGCCCAAAAAGTCTAGAAAGGTAAAGGTTATGTATATTATTCTTCGCGTTGTTTGAAAAGTTTAACGTATTTGTAACAATTCTTCTTAGTAAGAAAAACAAATAAAATAATTGAATCATTGAGTTATTATAGAAATAAATTAACTAGATTGAATTTAACTAAAAAGGTTAAAAATACTTTATGACAAGGAAGCATAACTGCTTCACAATATCGGTGATGATGTTAAGTCTAACAAACTTCTTACTAAAGACTAGCTAAAGTTAAACAACTATGTCTAATTTTTTTTGGGACATTTGTTTAACTTGATTCTACTTTAACTAAAAAAATTTTAATTTAAAAGAATTTGGAAAACTGTAAAAACAATTACTTCAAAAATATGGTTTCGGTTTTTAGGCAATTTAAATTATTTAATTACTTCAAAAAAATGGTTTCGGTTTTTATGCAATTCAAATTATTTTAAATTCAATTTAATTTAAAATAAATGTTACTGTTAACTGTTGACTGATAACAAATACCTCATCATGTTTTGATAAAAACAAGAAATAAAATGCCAAAATAATTTTTTTTAAACCCAAAATGGAAGGTCCATTTAAGTCAAATCACCATCAAGAAGCAGCCAGCTATGGAGACTTCCATAAATGGCTCAAGCAGAACCATTTTTTAATGAAAAGAAATACATTCAGCATACAATAGGATTGATGTTCGACTGCTAAAAAACAAATCAGTCAATACATCAGCTTCTTCAACCATTGAAGTTAAAGCAACAACTTCTTCAGCCATATTTAAACCTCTTAGACAATATGAAGACATCGATTTAAAAGATAATCATCAATCACTTTTAGATTTCAGTTTTTATGAAAACTTTTGATATTTTTTTAGATATTTGTTAACAAATATCTAAAAAGACAAAAAATAAAGTAATAAAATGTAGAAACAACTTTTTTTTGGCTGAATGTCCATTTAAAGCAGATCAGCATCAAGAAGCAGCCAGCTCTGGAGATTTGTCAGCCAGCTCTGGACAGTTTGTCTGATGAATTGTTTGGTTTGTCGGACATGACCGATAAATTTCAACAAAAAATATTTTTACTATAAAACTAATATCCGATTTATTATTTACTACTGGTATGTGCGGTCATTAGTAGGGGTGCACCGATGCATCGGCCGATGCCAATTGTTTAAAAAAGTCAATTTTTTTTATTTTTTTGTTTCTATATTGTATAAAAAAATATAATAATTATATTTTTTTATAAAATATAGAAACACAAAATTATTTAAAAAAAAAATTTTGCAGACTTCTTGCAATATAGTCAATAAATACAACGCATTGGCGATCTGAAATATAGGATTCGCCCATATTCACACCGAAAAGCTCAACTAATTTAACAATTGGAACAAACTTTGAAAGAGGTAACTGTTGTTTCGCTATAAAGTAAGAAAGTTTAAATTTTTAAAGGGTTTTTTCAAGGTCGTTTTTTTCTATTTTTTTCAAACCATCAGTGATTGTTGCGTTATTTTTACAGGGCAATAAAGGTTTAGATGCATTTTGAAAATTATTAGATTTTTTAAGAAAAAGAGTGTATGCTTTTAAGTGCGGTTGAGACTTACAATGATCAAGAATATTCGATTTTCTATAGTTTGCTGATCCAACTATGAATGTATTCGTATAGTATGGCATAGTTTTTATTGTATCATTAAACTCTGTACAAAACTTGCATTTTAAGTTTTTTACTCTTTTATTTGAATCAATGTCATAAAATAGCCATTCGCTAAGTGAATACTCAGCGAGCTCCGACTTCCAAGTTTCTACTGTCGATACTGATACTTTACGAGGATTTGCCGTGATCTTACTTGTTTTTTCTTTGGCAATTTTTTTCATTTATAGACTTAGCTGCAGGCGACTGTTCTAAAAGTGGTTTAAACAAAGAAAATATAGTTTTTTGAATTTTATTTTTCGGTGGCTCAACTGTTGAACACTTTGAACATAAGGCAATTCTCTTAATTTCCTCACTATAAGATAAGTCGCCAGTTTTTCCCGGAGTTGCACAAATATTGCAAACAAAAACAGCGCATTTCATGCATGTATACTTTGTATTTCTTTCACGACAAACTGAGCAAACTGCTTCCATTTTTTTTTTAATATTACGCCCTAAGTTGGAATAATGACAACACATTATCATAAATATTTTAAACTTATATATATTATATGTGAATAATTATATTAATAAAATACATAATTATACTCATATAATTATACATTTTATTAATATATTTATTGTTAAATTTATAAAATAAAAACTTCTGTTCACAAAATTGAATAAGATAAGAAATAAGTTTAATTAAAAGTAACAAATAGCTTTACCTTACGAAAATTTCAAATTCAAAATTAAATCACAGTAAACAGAAAACTATTAAAAACGTAACATGTTGTATTAAATTTTATTTTTTACAAAATATTAATATTTACGGGGAAGATATTTTAAAAATGTAAAAGAAAAATGTAAAAAAAGTGTTGATGTTAACCCTCGTTAAAAAAAGCATTGCTCATTAAATAAAATTCTTGCGGCATAATACTGTTTCCATTTTGTCTGAATTATCTCAAAGAATGACGAACTTCATCACATTGTGCACACTTTCGTTTTCTTGGGCATTTTTGGTTAAAAAATAAAATAAAAAAGAAAGTTTATATATAATATACTGAACATTTCAATAACTTTTAAATAACTAAAATAATTTTAAGAAAATTTCACAAAAAAAATTAGTCGGACAAAATGACCGATTTATGATGATTTTTACCGGACCAATGTCGGACAATGTCCGATGTCCGGCGGCTATTTTGAGCCCTGCTTTAGGGTATAAGGAATGTTAAGCAATGGACTAACCTGTTTGACGGCTTTACCAGAAAGAATGCAACTAGTGGAATCAAGAGATGATATTGATGAAAAGTTCTTAGCAAATAATTTAGTTTTGTCTTTAGGTGAGTTGACAAAGTCTGAACCATACAAAAAAAAAAAAAAATTACTGACTTGCTCTTATAATTGATACTATTAATGATTCTCCAGAAGTCAAAAGAGCATAATTTCTGTGATAAAATACAAGATTTCATGACCTGAGAATAACGGGCTTTCATATTAGACAAAACCTTTTTACAATGGTTCCTAGCAGTAATAAACAGACATCTGTTTTCTGGAGAATTATTGTGCCTATAGATATGAAAGTAATGGTAATGAAGAGTGATGCATGACCCAGAATCGTTGAGAGGGAATAAAGGATTCCATGCCAGCCTAAATTCATGAAATTATGTAAGAAGAACATTTGTCAACAGGAAGACGAAAGATTTCTACCCAAGGGCTATCATAAAGAAAATCACAAAGAGTCCCAGTCAGCTTAAAGGTAGTTGTAAGATGTACAATGAGAGGGGGATTCTGATGATAAAGAACGAGATAATATTTTTAGAGAGATCAAACTGTGATCAGAGGCACTAAATGGTAAATGTAGAGAAACTTAGCACTGACTAAATTCAGAAACAAGACATAAGTCAAGTAGAGCAGAAAAATGATTGGGGTTATCTAGAAAGCAAGTTAGAAAGTTGACTATTTGAGTTAGGGATTGAGAAAGGCAAAAGTTGTGGGCTTTTAATATTGGAGTCTTTACGAATTAAAGGAAGATAACCATCAAAACAAAGATTACAAGATGAGACAGCAGAACTTAAATAAGTTCTGCTGTCTCATCTTGTGATCTTAGTGTTGATGGTTATCATATATATATATATATATATATATATATATATATATATATATATATATATATATATATATATATATATATATATATATATATATATATATATATATATATATATATATATACATATATATATATATATATATATATACATATATATATATATATATATATATATATATATATATATATATATATATATATATATATATATATATAAATATATATATATATATATATATATATATATATATATATATATATATATGCATATATATATACCAGGCCTTGCGATAAAGCGTCGGGCGATGTGAATTTTACGTCGTCCAAGAGCGATTTTGCGTGTAGCTAGGGCTATTTGCGTCGAGCAAAAAAATTTTTGTTTGAGTATATTTAAAGATATTTTTGAGCGGAATTTTAATGAAGTAATTTACGAATATTTTAACATTTAATAAAGTATTTTAAAAACCGCACGCAGTTGAAAAAGTTTGAATTTAAAAAAATTAAATATGCTCATTATTTACAAGTAGAAAAAAATCAAAAATTAAAAAAAAAGTTTAAATCTTTTAAGCTAACATTTAATTAAAATTATCTAACATTTAATTAAAATTGAACAAAAATACTTTCTTTTAGTTTTAGATTTTAAACTTAAATAATTATTTTACGGGGGTTTGTTAGGATTTAAAATTATTCCATAGATTTAAAAATATTTATTAACTGTTAGACGTATTTAAAGTATTTAAGAGTAATTTCGAGGAAACATTTTAAAAATTGGTGAGGGCAAATAAAAAAATAAAAAAGGATTAATATTAAAACGTATTCTACTTGATTCAATAAAAAAGTACAGTTATTAAAATTTTTGTAAAAAGTAACTCAAAAAAATTACTTATTCATCGCAATTTCTTATTCATCGCAAGGCCTGATATACATATATATATATATATATATATATATATATATATATATATATATATATATATATATATATATATATATATATATGCATAAGCTACTAATTTCAGGTCACTAAATCTTGTATAAAACATTCAATATTTTATTAAACCAATTAAAAACTTTTACAATTTTTTTTTTTAATGATAGACTGCCTGCACAAACCAAACCCTCAGTCGATGTAACAACACTCCTTTGCGAGTCAGGCTATTTGTAAGTAGATGTAGCAGCACTCTGTTGCAAGTCAGGCTATAAGTAAGTCGATGTAGCAAAACTCCCATATAGCAGCAGGCTATAAAATAGTTGATGTATCAACGAGTGTGCATGTTTTAAAAAAATTTATTAATAAAACAACAACATAAACAGCATTAATTAATAAAACGTTTCTTGCCATTATTATTGCGTTTTTTTAAAAAACAATAAAATTTAATGTACTTCCGCAGTAATTTTATTGCTTTGACATTTCGACGACATTAAAATGTAGCTTAATTATCGAGGCAGAAAAATTGTAGTCGAAAGAGATTTTTTTTAACATAAAAGTCTCTTCTGACTACACTATAAAGATGTATATATATATATATATATATATATATATATATATATATATATATATATATATATATATATATATATATATATATATATATATATATATATATATATAAATATATATATATATATATATAAATATATATATATATATTTATATATATATATATATTTCATATAAAATAAAGTGATCTCCTAGATGGTGATCAGTTTAAGCAGACCATAAATGACTTTATGTTCACACATTGGAAAACATTCTAAACTAAACACAGAAATCAACGAAACGAAATGAATAATCTATGTAATCAATAACATCAATAAAACCATGCAAGAAAGATAGATAAACTAATCTGCTTTTATTATACACAGTGTTAAAAATTCTTCAAAGAAGTCCCTGGACCCTAATTTTTTGAGATAAAATACAAGATTTAGTGACCTGAAATTAGTAGCTTATGCATTAAACAAAACCTTTTTAAAATGGTTTCTAGTAATAGTAGTTAAATGGATTATCATCTATTTATTTGTTTATAGCCTATAGACTATATACTGTTTTAATAATTTATAACTCAGTATATAATTATTTATAAAGTTATTTCAGACTACAACACAAAGTAAGAAAAAGGTATTTTATCTATTGATTGAATATCTGGTTTCAATAGTTATTGTAAAGTTAAAACATTCAATATTTTATTATAAACGTTAAACAATAAGAAATCTTATTTATAACCAATTAGATGTCATTGTAGTTCACTATTAAAACTAAAAAGTTATTTGTGGTTAGTCACTTAAGTTATTAGTGGTTAGTCACAAAAATATACTGTAAAAAGTATTTAACATTAAAAAATAAAAAATTATTTATACCCCAACACGATTTTTAAATAAAAGTTTTATCTATCTGAAAACAAATTATGCTGCTATTAAATTCTCATTCGCAATCAGAGAATTATTATTATTTTCATTGTTTGTTTTCTTTATTTACCACCATTTAATTAAGAAATACCTGTTTTTGAAACACCTTCTGATAAATATGAAGACATAGTGAAAAACCCACCTGGTTAAATAAACAGAAATATATTTTGAATTGGTTTATAACACTATTCAAAAGTTAAAAAATAATATTAAAATAAAATAATTTATTAAAAAATTACCATTATAATCATTATCATTTTCATCTACAACTATAATAATTTTTTTTTTTTTGAAAAAATTTTGGTGTTGAAATAATGAAATTAATTTTTTTATAAAGAAAAATATGTTAGCTAAAAATCCAATTCATTTTTGTTTAAAAAACAATAGGTAGAAACTTTAAGTTTTGAATTTACTTAAAGATGACATTTTTGTGTAATATGAGCATGCTCAAATTATCCAGTGTTTTTCATTAAAATTACCTAGTTTAAATTCCAAAAATAGTAATGGTTTTAATTGCTTTTTAAATAAAAACAAAACAACAAAAAATTTTAATATTTTAACAATACTAAATACTTTTCTGTAATTTAAATTCAAAATATTTGAAATTTTCATTTCAAGGTTTGAGTTAATAAAATTGAAAAAATTATTTTTTTTGCAGAAAACATAGCTGTACCATTTTATTAAAAAGTGGCTTAGAACTTGATCTTTAAATAATAAGTTTTATTAATAACAAATCATTATATTCCGAAAATTAGTTCAAATTGTCAGGTTGGTACTTTTTTACATATTTTAAGTATTACTTTTTTTTAAAAAAAAAAAAAAAAAAAAGTAACATTTAAAATAATTAAAAAAAGCAGAGAGTTTGATGAGGAAGTTAAAATAATAGCAAAAAAATAAACATATAATAAGAGTGACAAATCTGAAAAAATTATATAATACAAATAATAACTTAAAAAATGTGTACTTGCAAGATCCTCCACCTCCTTCAATAAATCCATTTTCGGAATATTTAAAATGGCAAGTTTTAACTTTTCAAATGTCGGTTTTTCATCAAAATTGAACCATTTTTTTAACATTTCGTATGCTTTGCATTCTTGTTTTGAAAAATTTATAGAATCACTCTTAATTGATTCTAAACTACGCTGTTCGATATTTAAGTAAATACCAATTTTAAACCAATCCTGACCAAGTAGTTCAGACAACTTAATTTGAAATACTGGATTTCGTAGGACTTCATCCATTTATACTAAAAAACAAAGCAAAATTTGAAATATATATATATATATATATATATATATATATATATATATATATATATATATATATATATATATATATATATATATATATATATATATATATATACACATATATCAGGCCTTGTTACAAGATTTCGCTGCGTAACGGAAAAGCGAAACGTGAATAAATGTAACTTTACTCAATAAAGATTACATTGTTAAAAGTTAAACTACGTCAGTTGCGTTTTTACTTCGTTGTAATTAAATTTAAAACAACATAAAAAACTTAGTCTTTGAAACGAAATAGCTTTAAATTGAACAATGTTGTTGTAAAAAAAAAAAATTTAATGTTGATTAAAAAAAAGTCTTCTTGTATTAAAATCTTATACTTATTTAAACTTAATTTTTTGCTTTTAAACATTCGTTTTATGGTTGTTTTTTTTTAAATATTTTTTTTTTAAATAATTCAAATTCAACACTTGTTTATGGATGATTTTCTTAAAGGGATTTAAATGAACTTATAACTAAACGCATAGATTGGGTTTTCCCCTTTTAAAAAAGCGTTTGCACTATAAAATAAATGTTGTAAAGAAACAAAATTTACTGCTTTTTCATCTTTTTTTTTTCATTTCCATTAAAATATTTTATTTTTATAAAGTGAAACCTAATATTTTTTTACTCAATCCAAAAAAAAAATATAGTCTTTTTGGTTTTAAGATGTTATAAGCAGAATTTGTTTTTAACAAATATCATTATAATTTTGAAATTTATGTATCTTATATTTATAGCTCTAGTACTAGTTTTGTTTTTAAAATAAAATAAAGATAAGTTGGGCTTTTAAAGAGTTTATTTACTGATCCCGTTATTTTTAATAGGTTTGAATTTAATTTTAAATTAAAAAAAAGTTATATGTAATACAAACAATTTAAAGTTACTTGAATTAAATTTATTAAATCTTTTTTTACTTTAGAAATTTTATCATAAAAAACAAATTGTAAAACGGAGCATTTTAAAATTAAAAAATTTTAAATGCTATATTTTTAAATTAAATAAAAGAATTTTAAGTTAATTTAATAAATTTATTTATTAAAAACTATAATTAAAAAAAAAATATTTAAATAAAATAAATTGAAATTTTTTTTTATTTTAATTTGAATGTTTTTAAACTTATGAAATATAAAACTTAATATTAAATATGATAAAAAGTTTAAACTTAAAACACTTATTTTTTTTAAACTAATTTTTAACAACAACAACAACAATAAAAATAATTTAAAAAAATTATCTTTAACAAAAAATCTATTAGTTTACAATTGCGGTTAAATGCTTTTACTCACGACTTTATTTTACTCTGAATAAACGCCACATAAACGATATCAAATGAAAATTTAAATATTCTAAAAGATTAAAGTTTTTGCGTAACGCAAAACTGCTGAACACGTAGGCAAACTGCCTTTTCGCAGGTAAAATGCGAGCTGCATAACGCTTCTTAACAAGGCCTGATATATATATATATATATATATATATATATATATATATATATATATATATATATATATATATATATATATATATATATATATATATATATATATATATATTTATATATATATATTTGCAGCACTTTTGCTGCAAAATTAATTGAACGAATAATAATGAACATATAAATACTATAATGAAGTGCGCGAATATGGTAGTTTCAGCATTTTACAACATTCTTTTTGTGCTGGAACAAAGAGTGTTAAAACTAAAGTAATACCAAGAATTTTTACCAAACATAAGGCAGCAAGAGTTGTACCTGAAAATGTAATTTTGTCTTTAAATTTAAATGTTTGTTGACTAGTTTCAAATAAGCCAGCTTCTGAAAAATAAATGCAAGCTTGTTTTATGAATGTCCCGTAAATATGAAAATTGTTTAAATCCGGCTTACAGTTAACGTTCAATAAATGTGATTAGGTTTGTATAACATATGTCGCCAACCTTATTTAAACCAACTACTGTGAGCTCTGATTTACAGCTCTTGAAGATTCACTGCAAATGTTCAAATAACAAACAGCTAACTTTAACATAACATTCACTGCAAACGTTACTTTAACAACTCTTGAACTTTACCTCAAATATTTTATACTTTCACGGAGTATACCTAACGTTTTTTTTTCCCTTTAAATGTATAAATGTATTGATTTAAACATTTTTTTTTTTTTGATTAAACCATTAAATTTACTTGTAATTATGTAATGTAATGTTTTTTTAAGCATATTTCTTAATCATATAACTTACATAACCCTTTTTTATTTTACAAATACAAGTTCACAATGTTTTACAACTGAATCACATCATATCCATATTTATTTGAAAATTCATGATTTATTACATTTCAACCAAAAGGCACACAATTGGCTGAGCTAAATAAATCTTTAAAAAATTGATCCCAAAAATCTTCGATGAAAAAGTTTATTTATTATTACTAGTTAGAATTAAATTGTTATTAGTACCATATAGGACACTAATAACAATTTTCATCAATTTAATTTAATTCTGCATAGAAAACAACGCCGACAACATTAAAAATAAATACGCCTTGTTTCAATAAAAAAATGCAGTTTTAACTGCCTTTTTTACTTTTTATTTTTATATAAACTCTAAATATTAAACAAGTACCATCATTTTTATATTATAAACACATATTATAATATTAACTTTATATAAACTACAATAATCTAACTAAATAACCATAATAAAAAGTTAAAACATTATGTTAAGAACTAAATAAACTAAATATTCTTAATTTTTAACTTCATTTGTATAAGTTTTCTTAGCCGCCTCAACTTAGTACATAAAACCATAGTTTGCATGCACATTTTCATTAAATTAGATTTTGTCATTTCCTTTGTAGAAAATTATATACATTTTGGGCTACATGTTAATACAATTACCATTAGATAAAACATATGTGTGAAATTTACAAAATTGCACTTTTATTACTGAATTTTATTTGCCTTGCACGTTTCCGAATTAAAATTTAATTGCATCGTTTGCCAACACTTTGTATCCTTTATATAATTCAAGTAACTGCATGTTTGCCATTTTTATTTTATAGGCAGCATTCAGATCGTTAATTCAATTAATTTATAATTTAAGTAACTGCATGTTTGTCCTTTATATTTTATACGCAGCATTCATTCATGTTTGTCCTTGATATTTTATACGCAGCATTCAGATATCTTTAGCATTTGTTAGAACCAAGGTGTAAGGTAATTTCTATTTTATTCTTTGTATTTCTTCTAATAACACAAACACACACACACACACCATATAAAGGAAATTTTAAATTAAATCCAAGAACTATAGGATAAATATTTGTATAAATAAATTATATGTTAAAATATCTTAATATTACCTAGAATTGAGTCTATGATACTGATAAATTTTGAGCAGTACTCGATTATCTCTCCCCTTCCATTATGATACCAATCATTTCATGATTGAAATCATAACTAATAAATTTTTCTCCCCATTGATTATATAATCAATCATTTCACGATTGATATCATAATCAATCGTGAAAACTATGAGATGGGCTATAAATAAACATTAATTTAGCGCTAACAAGTTGCGCTGTATTCAATAAGCACCCCCATTGAAGATCAATAATATTTAATAAGCACCTAATAATAGTCACAAGCAATTTTAAACTTTTTTAGAAAAATTAATTTCTGCAGGCGGGAGATTTGCAAGGTTGTAAATTCTTTTTGTATGACACAATGTGTAAATAAATCATTTATGAAAAAACAAGGTTTTAAATGTTAAAAAATACTTAGGTTTAGAAATAAATACTTATGGTAACTTTTATTAAACATTAATTTCACATAGAAGGTGGACATTTTAAAGGAGGGTGAAAAAAATATTTTTTCGCCTTGATAAAGTAAATTTTAAAATTTGTTACGTACTTTAATATAAGTTTTTTGAAAGAAGGTCGTAATAATTTATTTTGAAAATAGTACTTTTCAAAAACAATACTTTTAAAGAATGTCAATGATTGGTTAGCATTTTTGTTCATTACGGCCACTAATCATGTATGTGCATTGCAGATGCATGATTAGGGCCAGAATGCTTTCATGAGACTGGAGCATAGCAGCAATTAGGCGCTCCTATAAGTATAATTTTGTTAAAATTAAACCATGTACAACTATACAAGTTAATAATTGTCATTTTATTTCAATTACTGTTAACCAGAGATGTAGGTCTTGAGACCAAAGTCTTGGTCTTGAGACGCCTCGTGACTCATACTTAACTGTATTTGACTTGGTATTGGTCTTGAAGCCTAATGTCTTGGTCTTAGTCTTGAAAGCCTAGAGTATTGGTCTTAGTCTTGGTTTTGGACCTTAACTGTCTTTTACTTCCTTGACTCTTGATGTAATGTTGCTTTTTTTTCTTTTCTATAAATACTATAATGGGCACTGCTCTAAAGACCTAGCATCTCCTATGCCATCTTCGTCATTCAATTAAGTCTCATTCTTTTACTGAAACTGTTCCTAAGTGCACCGAAAATTCTTAACCATCTAGTTTTATTCCTCGATTTTTTAAAGCCTAGAATTCTCTTGAACTTTATGGAACTTTCAAAAAATATCTGGAGTATTGCGGATGTTTTTAGAAACCTCTGAAACTCTCTAGAATTTTCTTGAGTCCTATGCCAGTTTATAGAAAATAGCAGTTTGTATAAATTAGCAAGAATAAGACTAAATAAGCTTCCAGATTGAGCAATGCTAATAATAAAATAGAAATCTGTATTTGCCAAACAATACAGAGGCACATATAATATAATTAAAATAGCACTTATATTTATTGTTATTTCATTTCAAAAATATACAATTATTATCATTAATTATAATGTACCATAAAGGTGCTTCTGTTACCGAAAGAAAAAAATCAAATCTGAATAAAATAAGTAATAAAGTGCTTGTCTATGCCACATAGACAATAAGACCTAATCTACTAGAAGAACAA